TCAATGGGTCACTATAAACCTAATTTAATCATCTTTACTGTCTCATATTTATACATCATATTTATACATGATGGTTGGAGGAAGTAAAGTCTGGTGGCCCACCAGCTTATAATACAGTTGGAAAAGGCGGTAAAACATGTAAAAATAAAAACACCACTACTGCCACCTTGTGGCCATAAGTAAATAAGTAAATACAGCAGCAGCTTCAACTTCCTCTGATTTCAGAGCAGAAACTTTATTTTTATGGAGATTAATTTAATCTGTCAGGATTCAGGAGATTAATTATTATTAATCATCAACCTGAAAATCTGCAGGAGTTTGTGATTTTATTTTTTCTCTATTAATGACAAAGTTACAAACTAAAGCTGAACAATCCCATAATTCACTGCTTCAGTGATCTGTGAAGTGTTCATTATTTGAAAAACATTTATTTAATATTAAATTCTTTATTTAAATTCATCAAAAAAGATTTAGCAATAAAATAAAATAAATCTGTAAATTAATTAAAATGTCTCATATTTCAGGTTTTGAGTCAAATGGAAAAGTCTGATTAATTAAAATATTCAGAAGGCAGAAGAAAAGTTTTGTGTTTAGTTATTCCATTATTATTGCAGCATAAATTATGTTAATTTGTGCATTAGCCTTAGTGTGTTTATTTATTATTCTTTACATAAAAGAAATGAAACATTTTCAAAAGTTAAACCAATTTCAGATAAAACGCAGATATTGATCATCTAGTTCAGCTAAAACTTATTACTCATTTCTGTCTATTCAGACCCATAACTGGACATTGATCACAGAGGACACTAAATGGTTTATTCAGTAAAACCTGAATTAAATTAATGAATCTGTTCACTAAACAGATTCATTCACTCATTAACATAAATATTTTACTGTTCATCTTCGTTTTAGTGTTTCAGTTTCTGTTATATGGAGGTTTNCAGCTCTCAGACCAGCAGAGGCTGAACCTCACAGTCCTTCAGACCCAGAGGTCGGCATGGAAACCAGCTGATGAAGCTAAACACAGAAACATCGCTTTGATTTTACAGGCTGATAAAGTCAGAGAGGGAGGAGAAAAACTGGAAGGAAAACTTTAAGGAAGGAGACAAAATACTTGGTAGATCTGGATTTACTAAATGTTTAAATGTTTTAAAAATGTATGTAACCAATGATTTAATGGTCTAAACAAAGTCTGTGACATGTGGGTTGGAGACAGAAATGCTGCAATGACTTCCTTAAACGACAAACTCTGCCTCGGTTTCTGATTGGTTCAGAAGTGCAGAGTCAGATGACGTAGATGTGAAAGGTAAAGGTAACTTTTGTTCATTTCCAGGTTCAGACATGACTGTCTGGAATGGGCTGCTGTCGCCCCCTGGTGGCAGAAACATTCATCACGTTGCAACAAGTAAAGATCAACCAACTTCCCCCCCCCCTCTTCCACTTCACCCCCCTCCCAGTGTGGTGTTGTGTAATGGATGGTTGTACTGGACCTGCATTTCCGTTGTCTTTCTGACAATGACAATAAAATTCTTCTGGTTCTGACCAATGGACCAAAAGGTTTTAGAAAACTCTTCAGTTTTTCCTGTTACCAGGATTTTACACGATGAGTGACGATGACAGCAGCTCAGTATAAAATGTCGTCATGCTGAGGGATTTTCAGGCTCAGTCAGAAAACTAGAACCAATAGATGGAGATTAACTGGAGAGACTTGATGATTATTATAATAACATCAGACATGTTGAATATCAGACATCAGATGGAATCACTAAATAATATTAATTCACCTTTTGGGACCAAAATGACTCAGAGACTCTATCAGGTTAATGAGGAAGATATTATCATCATCTGTGAACTAAGGGCTGATCTGAATGTTGAACATTTATTTTAAATGAATGTTTAGATGATTCATCAGATTATTAGAGGATATTTTACCAGATTTTAGACAGAAATATTTAATAGGAAGCTATTTAATTTAAACACCAGTTCTCTGAAAAACATTAAAGTCTTTAATGCTGAACTGCATCAAATTCCTCTGAAAACAATAAAACTGTCATGATGTCCAGTGGTTGGAGGTGAGGAAGACGCCGGTGAACCTGGGTAGTCATGATGAAATTATGATTTAATAAAGAACCAGGAACAAACTGAGAAATACAGGCAGCAATGGAAACAGACAGACAAATGACAAACAGACGAGGAGCGACGAAGGACAGAGACAACAGGTGGGGTTAAACACACAGGGAGGAAATCAGGGAACTGGACACAACTGGGAGCAAACAGGGACGACAGAGACTCACAGGAAACAGAACAAAACACAGAAAAACCTCAAAAATAACTACACAGAAAACAGATCGTCACAAAAACTTCATAAGAGAAAAAGGTTTCCAGCTGGTTTATTGTGAAAAGATTTGTCTAAGAGGGTTTGTTGTAATAAAAATAAGGTTATTTTTAATAAACATAAAGATGGCAGATTATACATGAATAAATTACCTTAGAGTCAGTTTTAAAAAGAGAAATTATGACGATCCACAATGTCTAAGAATATATTAATGAGATGAAACTGAGCTGTTTGCTTTGGAGACGTTCATTTACTCAGAGAGAGGAGATTATTGTCCTGTTAGTTAAATTATTTATTATTTATCACAAGAAAATGTTATTTATGGATTGTTGGAGGAAAACTGGACAAATTATTAAGATTGGTGGTTGGTGAGTTAATTATGCAAAATGTTTGCTATGAACAAATAGAAACATTTTAGTTTTCATATAATTTTATTCATAACATTTAGTTATGAAGAAAAACAAGAAAAAGTATCACAATAATATACAACAGCAATAAAATGTGATATTTATAACTTAACTCTCCTCTGATGACTTTGATGTTTTCCATCTGGATGAAATGATTTCTACTAAAGTTGAGTTTATTAGTTAACATCTGGATGTTCATGAGGTTTGATGCTCACTGAGGTGAAACAGCTGGATGAAGATTTAATGGAGCAACAAAAACAGCAGCTGATGGAGATCAGGAGGAAAAAACTACATTTAATAAAACTGGAATTAAACATAAACATCTGAGACAATAATTTACAGTGTTCTTATTAGAGGTAAACCCAACAGCAGTGACAAGAGACTTTATATATATAAAAAAAATTATTTAACTGAAAACTGATTTATAAGGTTTTAAAGTCTTTTATTTCTTTAAAACAGAAAATCAAGACTTTTCCCACATAGTTCATGTGTTTCTCAAAGAGTCTGTTGAGTTAAAGATGTCTTGCTTCTCCTATGAGTATAAATTAGAACTACAACTAGAATAATCACAAATGTTACAGCTGCTACTTTAATCCAGATGATATGTGTCCATCTCTCTGGTTCTGGAGTCAAATTTGGTCTCTGAGTTTGGAGATAATCAGCAGCTGCTGGAAAAGAAAAGAAATTATTTACTTACTCAAGAGGTTTTAACTTTAAGATAATTATGTTTATCATGGATATAAATGTCAGTTTCTAACTGTTCATTGGAAAACATTTCCATTACTTTCTTCTCACCAGTAACGTTGAGTCGACATCTTCCAGAGTTGAATCCATCTTCAGTTTTCACGTCACACAGATACAGACCAGAGTCTTCAGTCCTCAGTCTGGACACATGGAGTCTGATTCGTCCTTCTCTGAGGACGTCTTTGTCACTCTGGACTCGTCCTGAAAACTGATCATCCTGAGACTCTGGAATCTCAACTCCTTCATGGACCTGATAGAGAACTAAAACTCCATGATCCGTGTTCGCTTCACAGTAGATGAACAGTTCCCTGTAGGATCCCTGAGTCCTGGTGGTGAAGGTCCACTCCAGAGTGATGCTGTGGTTCTCCTCTGCCTCATAGCTGCTCTGGGTCACATTCACTACAAATGTTGCTGCTGAGGAGACAGAGAGGGAAAGAGAGGAGCAGACACACTGAGTAATGGAACATGGGAGTCTTTCAGCTCCATCTAGAGAGCTTTCTGTCACAAAGACAAGATGGAGACTGACCACAGAGACATGAGCTGAGGATGAGGAGCAGCAGGGAGATCATCTTCATCCTGAGAGAGGAAGAGGAGGAGGAGGAGAGGCAGCAGGACATTAGTAAACATCGGTCACATTATGAGGAACATCTACAGTCTGACTTTTAGATTCATCAGGTAGAAACTCCTCAACTTTCTAGTTTTGTGATAATGATTAAAGTTTCTTTGAATCTGTTATGGTAAAACATTTTTCACCCGTTAAGCTCAGTGTCAGGGTCAGTAGGTCAGTCCACCATGTTTTTGTGTTGAAAAATGTTAAAAGTTACAAAAATTCTGACATGCACAAGCCGACATCATAATTTGGAAATAATAGTGAGACTAACAGGACGACCCACTTTGCACCTCGTCCTCATCAATGGGTCACTATAAACCTAATGTAATCATCATTACTGTCTCATATTTATACATCATATTTGTAAAGTCTGGTGGCCCACCAGCTTATAATACAGTGGGAAAATGTAAAAATAAAAACAGCACTACTGCCACCTTGTGGCCATAAGTAAATACAGCAGCAGCTTCAACTTCCTCTGATTTCAGAGCAGAAACTTTATTTTTATGGAGATTAATTTAATCTGTCAGGATTCAGGAGATTAATTATTATTAATCATCAACCTGAAAATCTGCAGGAGTTTGTGATTTTATTCTTTCTCTATTAATAACAAAGTTACAAACTAAAGCTGAACAATCCCATAATCCACTGCTTCTATGATCTGCAAAGTGTTCATTAATTGAAAAAGGTTTATTTAATATTAAATTATATACTTCAATTCATCAAAAGAGACTAAATGATTTATTAAATAAAACCTGAATTAAGTTAATTAATATATTCATTAAACATATTAATTCAGTCTCAATAACATAAACCTTTTACTGTTTATCTTTGTTTTATGCTTCAGTCTGTATTTTATGGAGTTTATGTGTCACTGAATGCCAGAAAACATTTATTAAATCAGATCAGATTACATGAGTTTAACTTGGTGGAGGTGAATATAGATCTGTTCATGAAGTTTCTCTGTTTTTGTTGTTTGTTTTGTTTTGTTTAATATTTTATCAAGATTTTAATTCATTAATATTTTCATTTTCACGTTTGTACTCATCTCTTACTTCGTATGAAACAAGTTCAACGCTTAAATATCACTAGTTCATCTGAAACAATGTGAGCAAAGGGAGCAACAGATCCTGGTTGCTAAAGGAAACCAAACATTGTGGAACCACCAAGTGGTTCCGCTTCGTTTGGAAAGGAAAACCTGCAGAAAGAAGTTTGATCATCTTCGTCTGAGTCCGCTGATCAGTTTGAGGAAAACAACAAGTAGCAGGTCTGAGATCATGTTGTTCTAACTGATATCCTCACCTCTTTGTTGCATTTAGAGGCTGCAGGTTTTATCGGTTTCATCAGAGCTGCAATGACTTTCTGTTGTAGAAACTCGTCTGATTTTCTGCAGAGGATCTGCTGAGTTATCGCTGCTTCTCAGCAAAAAACTTCACAGAGAAAAACTGGAGGACAAAAACTAAATAAATTAGTCACCCAGAAGGTCTCAGACATGAGCTTCATTCATCCGCTGCAGTCCATGAGAGAGAATGAGAACCGCAAATTCATATCACTGATGACGTAAAACCACTGAATGACGATGAACGAAGGACGCCTCGGTCAGACTGATTTAATAGAAACACACAGATTGAACTTCTTACTGCTGGTTTAGGAAAATGCTTGATTAGATAAATCTGATGTTAATGTTGAACCCTTTTATTTTTGTTTTGTTATTTTTACTATAATCTGTCCCATTTGTCTCTTAAAATTTCAACGTCCGAGGTTACCTGAACGCATCCTGGCTGACTGCTCCTCCTTGCTGCTGCGGTCTGTACTTCCTGGTCTTATAAAAAAAAAAAAAAAAAACTTCCTGGTCTTACTGAGAAACGAGAGAGAAATATTTTAGCGCTTTTAATGAATCAATGACCCTTCATGTGTTCATAGAAGCTGTTTGATAAAATCATGTTTTTATAAAAGAGACTCTGAGAGAAAAACAGACCCAGAGTCCTGGAGGAAGACAGAATATTTCTGAATCTTTTCTCCAGTTTTAACTTCAGGTTCCTCTAACGTGTAAAACCGTTCAAAGCTGAAGTGGCTCCAATAAATGAGAAAGTTAATATTGGTGAATTATTGATACCATCAGCTCCTCCGTCTTCTTCTTCTGATGATTTCTCCTCCAATCAAAGCAGCTTCAGCTTCAACATCTGGATCCAGGATGAGGAATTAAAGAGTTAATAAATGTTGGATGTTCAGGTCAGCCTGTGATTAAATGTGACTGAATCATCAGAGACGTTCAGTAAAGATGTTCAGGATAAACAACTAAAGAATCAGAAACTCTGACATTTGCTCCAAACTGATGGCATAAAGACTTTTTTCCATCCAGACTCGTTTCCACTCAGTGATTCTCCTCTGATCTCAGAGTTTTCCTCGTTTCCAGGCAGATTGTGTCTCTTCACATGTTTCAGGTTCAGCTGCAGAGGTTAAAACCTGAGTGAAGTTGGCCCCCACCTTCTTCAAATCAGACAAAATTGGTGTCAAACGTTTGTGATGCTTTGGCTTTGAAGATATTAATGAAAGTGTAAAGGTCAAAAGGTCAACCAGCCCCCCGCCCGCTTCTGACCTTTACACTTTCATTAATATCTTCAAAGCCAAACCAACACAAACGTTTGACACCAATTGTGTCTGATTTGAAGAAGGTGGGGGGGCAACTTCACTCAGGTGAGTTTAAATCACTAAAACTGACTTTGTTACTTTGAGCAAATTAAACTTTAGAACAACTAAGATGGCCTGGATGAATCTATTTTTAAGTTTTGATAAACTGTTGAGAAAATGTGAAAAATTAAAACTAAACTTGACAGATTTATAAGTGAAAATATTTATTTCCACAATTTCACAAAAAAAAGCACACACAAAAAAGCAAGACAGAACATATTTTACTTTATCTTGTTTACAATGTGTTGACATTTATTCACAACTATGTACAACATTTAAACTTTAATAAATAGTTAAGAGTTTAGAAAACATAAGAAACTATCAGCATTTTTCAGAGGAAAGTTTTAACAGCTGTGCTAAAACTTAACCTTTAAAATCAAACTAGATATTTGCTCAAATATTTCTTCATTACTCCCTTAATAATAATAAACTATTAATGAATAATATCTTAATATTGTATTATACTTTCAGATTCCAGGTGTAATTTCTGAGAGAAACTCATCTGTTTTATTATAAACATATTTTCTTTCTAGTTTGCATTTTAAAACTGATGTAAAACATAAATAATAAGAGCAAAAAGTCCCAGTGAAACATGAACTCCGATTCTTCCTCGACTGTCTGGTTGTAGATTCTCAGTCGGAGGTTGAAGCTGATCAGCAGCTGCTGGAGAGAAAAGGAGAAACTTCAGTTCAGACCTGGAATCAGATGGATCTGCTTCAGCTTCAATATAATTATTTAATGATTCAGCAACATTTACAAATGATAACATGAAGAACAGTTTTCTGGAAGTTTCCTCTGAACTTCATCTCACAAACATCTGACCTGAAATGATCAGATGAATAAACATCAGTGAAGTGATGAAGAACATCAGGACAGATGTTGGATCAGCTGGTTCATAAACATTCAGTTATTTTTCATCAACATGGTGGAAAAGTTGAGTTTAATACTGAAGACAAAACAGGAAAGATCCATGTTGAAACAGATCATTACTGCCACCTTGTGGTGATAAACAAACACAGCAGCAGTGAAACACCAGAACATGTTTCAGATCGGGCCGCAGTTGGTAGAGCTGTTGCCTTGCAGCAAGAAGGTTCTGGGTTCGATTCCCAGCCCGGTCTTTCTGCATGGAGTTTGCATGTTCTCCCTGTGCATGGTGGGTATCTTGATGTATTATTTGTTGGACAGGATGGATGGTTGGAGGCTTCTGATCAACAGCAAATCAGGTGACTAAATATTTATTCATAGATCCATGATTTACACAATTTCAACAAAAAAAATATCAATGAATGCAAACACCAAGTTTTAGTGTGAAAACTGTGCACTCTTTTACGCATGAGGCCCCTGGGCAGTATGACAGAATGCAGTATGTTGTGCAGAAGTTCTGTTTTGAGAACTTTTGAAATTTCCAGCAGAATTTCATTTCAAGCAAAAAGGCTGTGCCCAGAAGTGACATTAAATTCTCCTCAGACATTCCCTTTTTGCTTTGTTGGAACATGCACTGTCACATTCAGTCTCAAAATAATATGTGTGGAAAAACACCGAAAATAAAAGTTCAGCTTTGGATAAGAAAGGTTTCTGGCACTCTGGTCTAAACTTGCCCTACAAGAACATCAGAAACAGTCAGAAAACTCCATGTTTCTCTCTGTTGTCCCACAATGAACACAACAACATTAACAGATTAACCAGCAAAGTCCAAAGCAGAAGAGTCAGGAACACATGAAGAATCATACATTAAAATATTTTTAATATATTTTAAAATTAATATTGTTAAACCAAGCATCTTTAAACATTGCTCTGATTTCATCCTTTTTTTGTTTCTAATTCAACTGACGCCATTTTCTCACTTGTCTCTTTAATTTGGAAACAATGTATGATATTGTTGTTAAGGTGATTTAAAAAGGCGCAGTAACTCTTATTAGGCATATTCACTGGATCTCAGTCAAAGATCTGTTTGGCCTTGGACTGATGAAGTTTGGGACTGCACCTTCAATTTCTGCTGTTAAAACCAGAGAGAGAACAGATTTGTACATTTCAATGAATAGATCATCAGTTTAGTAAGAAACTCGTATTGCCAGAGTTGATTTCAGTTCTGGAAACAATCAAACATTTCAACAGTGAATAAAGATCCTGTTGGGAACCTCTGTCACCACCCATAAGTCCCTTCCTTCCCTCACTAGATGTCCAGGAAGCAGGTTGGGAGCTGAGCCTCTCTGAGGTTCTCCTGCACACCTGCGATTCATCTTCCTTCATTAGTGGAGCATAAGAAGAGCCGGCTGCCGGTCCTCTGAGTCCAGAGTGTTTTCCTGACTCCAGCCCCTCAGAGTCTCAGATCTGAAGCCTATTGAATTCAGAGTTCACCTACGTTTGTGTTCTGCCCTGCTAGATACGCTTCTACTTGGGATTCCACCCAGATGGTGGTTTCCTCTCTCCTGTTCGACCCCCACTGCGCTCTCGCCCCTGCGGCTGATCACTGCTCCACCGCCGCTCTACCTGAACCTGCTCCGCCCCTCATCCTCCATCGCCTCTGGGACACACTAACAGGAACCGGTGTGCCTTGCCACTTGCACCACCAGGATCTTCTTTGGAAACTTCCTCCCACTTCGGCAAACCTCCTCTTGACCCAACTCTCGCCCCTCCATGGCGGATCGCCTTGCCTGCACCACTGTCACCATCCGACCTTAGCACCCTGCTGGACTCGCGTCTCTCTTTTGTCCCCACTATTCCTAACCAGCCTGCCAGCGTGGATTTTGTTCCTGTCCTGGACCTTCATTATCACACTTTTCAACTTGTTGTAAATAAAGCTAAAATAAATTTTCTGATCTCCTGATGGTGTTTCTGCATGTGGGTTAAACAAATTTCCAAAAGCAGGACAGATTCTGACATGTCTGCAAAAATATGGATTTATTAAAGACATGAGAAAATTATTAACATACAAGCTACAGATAAAGAGCATTGGGCTCAATAGTAGCATCCTCTTTCAGTCTAAATATGCTACATTAATTAAATACATTAATTAAATATGACACAGAAACAGTCTCATAAAAATATTCACAGTAACATAAAAATGTAAATTTCACAAACTCCAGTCTTTCACTGCTAAGGAACAATTGCATTCAAATTACTCTCCAGGCCTCAAGTAGCTTGTTAAAGGTTAAAGGTCATGACAAAACGGTAGGGAAAAGGCTGAACCAGTATGATGGAGAGTCACCAATAAAATCTTGTCTCTAAATGGATCAGCAGCAGATTGTTGGTTTTCACAGCTGCATCTCAATGAAGAACCAGATTTCTAGTCTTCAACTCACCAAACCAACTGTAAAGCTCGGTGGTGGAGGAATAATGATCTGGGTTTGTTTAGCAGCAGGACCTGGACACCCAGCAGTCAAACTAAAACCTCCTCTGGACACCAACATATTCTAGTCCAACATGAAGCCATTTGTCCAGCAGCATAATGGACCTTCAGGATCTTCCAAGAGGCTGACAAGTTATTTGAATCCTTCTGATGTTTTATAGAACTGAAGAAGAATCTGAAGATCAGAGCTGCTGCAACTGCTGCTGTCAGTCCCAGAGAAACATGGAGGCCGATCCTTCCTCGACCTTCTGCTTCTGGATCCAAGGTCGGTCTCTGTTTTGGAGCGACATCAGTAGCTGCTGGACGGACAGAACAGTGAAGGAGCCTTAAAGTTTTCCCACAGCTATAAAAGTTTTGACATTCCATTATTATGTTTGGAGTTTGGATAGTGCAACATAAACTCACCAGAGACGTTGAGTCTGCAGCTTTTAATCCCAGATCCATCTTTAGTTTTCACTCCACATCGATACGGACCAGAGTCTTCAGTCCTCAGTCTGGACACATGGAGTCTGATTCGTCCTTCTCTGAGGACGTCTTTGTCACTCTGGACTCGTCCTGAAAACTGATCATCCTGAGACTCTGGAAACTCAACACCATCATGGACATGATAGAGAACAAAGACTCCATGATCCGTGTTCGCTTCACAGCAGATGAACAGTTCCCTGTAGGATCCCTGAGTCCTGGTGGTGAAGGTCCACTCCAGAGTGATGCTGTGGTTCTCCTCTGCCTCATAGCTGCTCTGGGTCACATTCACTACAAATGTTGCTGCTGAGGAGACAGAGAGGGAAAGAGAGGAGCAGACACTCTGAGAACTGGAACATGGGGGTCTTTCAGCTCCATCTAGAGAGCTTTCTGTCACAAAGACAAGATGGAGACTGACCACAGAGACATGAGCTGAGGATGAGGAGCAGCAGGGAGATCATCTTCATCCTGAGAGAGGAAGAGGAGGAGGAGGAGAGGCAGCAGGACATCAGGAACAACATCAGTCAGTATACAAGGCACAATTACTGATGCAGCTTTAAAATATTTATTGAATTGTTCAGCAACATTTACAAGTATAAAGTGAAGAACAGTTTTCATCTCACCGTTACACTTTGAGTAGAAAACTCTGGCTTGAAAAAATCTAGGTGAATAAACATCAGTGAAGTAAAGTTTTGATCAAACAGATGTTTGATCAAAACTTTACGTTGTATTTAATCAGCACTGAAGAAAATGTGAGTTTATTGCTGAAAGAAAACAGAGAAAAGATTTGTGTTATTACTGCCACCTGGTGGTGATAAATAAACACAGCAGCAGTAAGTCAAGGA